AAGGCAGAAACGTTGCAAAGCCCCTCCTGTGTTTGTGTGGTTTGGGTCTCTAGTTTGCCTTGTGGTGACTTTCAGGGATGAACATTTCCCTGGAATACACTGCCTGGAAATCACAAGGTGATTTGAGGTGGAAGTTAAGCACTGCCTGGGGCTTTAGGTGCCGATACTGTGACATAGGGGCTGAGGTCTAGACCAGGCCTTCCCTGGGCGTGTTCCGACAGGAGCTGTCCGGGATGCTGAGGGTGCAGGTCTGAAGCTGGGGGCTTTATTTCTGACACCACCCCTGCCCCACCAATAACTTCTTGGGTTTGTTTGTTACGCATCAATTCCTTTTATGTGGTGACATGTTTTAACCGGAGTTTACACTGTTTAAGTTTTCTTTTTATAAAAAGTTATACAAGTCACTTGTTTAAAACAGTCTAAAAGAAAACGAGGCTTTAGGAAGAAGGAGGACAGTTCCGCTCGCTGAAAGTTCTTGCATCTGTATTTCGGATGTCTTCTCCCCATCACTTTACGGTATGAGAAATGTGGATTTTCCACACTCTTTACTGGTTTGCCTGGATGTTTATCCTGTGGTCGCACGCGGCTCACCTGCTGTGTGTATCCTTGGTGTCTAGAGGGGTGGCATGTGGTGTGCACAGGCTGGAACACTTGGGGTGTAAATACGGGGCATTGACATAGGTTTTCAAAGAGTGGGTAGAATGAGTTTTGACTGGGAGGATCTCCTTTATATATGCTCTAGGGGTTTTTAAATAAAGAATTTGTAAATTTAACCCTAATTGCTTTTAGTTGTAATATTTTTCTAACGTCCTTTTTTTTCTTTATATTCCTTGAAATAGCTGAACTTTCACTACTTGTTTTAGTATTGAGGTCACCAAATAAGTTTAAAAATAAAACCACGTGACGAGAGGCTGCAGGTGGAGGGGTGGGTTTGTGCCGCGGCCCCTCTGCTCGGCCCTTCCTCGCTGCCTGCGGCCGGGGTGGCCGTTCCGCGGCTGGGCTGGAAATCACCGTGGGCTTTAAGCCGGAGGGGCTCGGCACGCGGAAAGGGGAAGCAGCCCCTGGGGTCTGGCTGGCTGCAGAGCCTTCAGACGAACATAATTCAGTAGAGGCTCGAACCCAGAGGGTCCGGGTGAGGGGTACAAAGGGGTCCGGAGTTGAAATGGCCCGTTTTGAAGGGGCTTTTTTCCCCGCAAAGGCGAGGCGAGGCGCGGCGCTGGGAGGAAAAAGGGAGACAAAGCACCATCCT